ATAAATATTCTCCTATAGTACCAGAAAATAACCAAGTGGTAATGAGACCCCAAACTATGTAATATCAATGTGTGTAAAGTTGAGTAAGTACATACTGTTTTTTGCAAAACTATAGAAGTTATGATGTTTCAGGGAGAATAAATTCAAATCCTACCTGACAGTGTATCCTTGATTATTGAGGGTGCTGGCCTTGGAAAGGTCCCTGTGGTCTGCCTCCTTGAAAAGGTGGTGGTGGGCCTTGCTGGTTTCCAGGCTGAGGGGGTCTGTTAGGCTGTCCTCCCTGTGGTGGTGGGCCTTGCTGGTTTCCAGGCTGAAGGGGTCTGTTAGGTTGGCCTCCCTGTGGTGGTGGGCCTTGCTGGTTTCCAGGGGGAGGAGGTCTGTTAGGCTGGCTTCCCTGTGGTGGTGGTCCTTGCTGGTTTCCAGGCTGAGGGGGTCGGTTCTGTTGCTGACCTCCTTGCTGGAGTGGGCCTTGCTGAGGACGGTAACCTTGGTTGGGAGGAGGTCCTTGGGGGAAACCTACAACAGGTAGTCTGTGATGAGGGCTCTGATATATAGTCTTATGTTCTATATTGTTACATTACAAGAGACAATAAGCTTAGTGATAAAACACCCTCTTATTGTTTATTAACTACTCAATACTTTCATATAGTACTGTCTACAAATTTGTCAATCACGTTCATAATCACTCACACCTAGTCTTTATAGAAATTTTCTCTTAATTTATATATTGATGATATCAGACATTGCATCTTGATGCTTGGAACTAGCATTTGAAGTCCTAGACAACAAAATTTCCAGCATTGTCTCCATGCTCCATGGACAAGAGCATAGCAAAGGCATAGGATTTTTCAAATTAATTATTTGACTATCTTACCCAGATAATGGTCCTACATCCTAACTTTCTTCTGTTCTACATTCACTAAAGTAAGATGTCTATTATTCAATGACTACATCATTACAATATCTTCACAGCTAGACTTCCTGCTGCAAGCCTTCCTATGTTTGAACCTTCACAGCATAAAGAGATGATTCTAGAAATCCAGCACTACCTTGTCATCATTCCATTTAAGCATTTAATCACATTTTAATTGCACATGGCGGCACCCAACTCCTTGATGTAGAATGTGGATGCAAATGTCCTACCTTGCTCCTGATTCTACAGTCCTCCTTCTCTGCTAATCCTCACATCCCTCTGCAAAATCCAGTAGTGCCATGGGTTCGCTTACCCACAAGCAGATTCAATGAACCAATAAACATGTGTTCTTACCTTCACTGACACGCTGAGCAGAGCTCAGGGTGAGCAAAGCTGCGGTCAACAGGGCCACCAGCATCTTGAGGAAGGCTCTGGTGTCTCTTCCGAGTCTGTGCTGCATGCATTGTGATAGCTGCCTTTATAAGACAGAACAAAAGAATGGTGCCTTTGATCCTCAGGCTGGGTGACCTCAGATTTGACAAAACAGGATACACTGCATCCTTGGTTCCTCTTTGAGACTCCTGCCAGGTAACAATGCAGGAGACATTGGCAGTGAGACTTGGGCAAAGAGTTGAAGCATAACCATGCCGTCATTCCTGATATTAGAATTTTGCTATTATGTGAATTTCACTGTATGTGGTGTGCAGTTTATATGTGTGCTTATGTTTGTACCCACTGATATCTCTACAAAATGAAGGTGCCTCATGTCTTTAGGTCTCATTTTTACCCACAGGCCATCAATCACACTGTAAATATGGGTGTGGTATTTAATTAAGGTTTTCTTGATTATAGAGCTCACTTTTGTTTGGGTAAGATTCAATTCTGTCAGCTTTAACCTACTCAGGACCAGAAAGATGGCCCAAAATTTCTCATTTGTTATTTCCAAATGTGGAATATTTGGTGCTTTGGATTACCAAAAGTGTTCTACTCCTCTCTCTCTCTCTCTCTCTCTCTCTCTCTCTCTCTCTCTGTGTGTGTGTGTGTTGTGCATTTGTATTTGTTTACATGCAAATAGTAAAGCATGTGGTGGCCAGAAGACAACTTTGGCTGTTGGTTCTCAGATGCATCCTTCCACCTTTTACTTAGGACTGACCATCTCATTGTCCTGAAACTGCCAAGTTGGGAAGCTGTTTGGCTTGCAGTTCTCCGGAGAGCCAATTCTCTCCATCTTCCATCTCTCATCTCAGCATTGCTGGTGTTTTAGCACTGTGTCCTGTCACCTGGCTTTTTACGTGGGTTCAGATGGATCAGATTTTGTGTTCTCACACTCATGGGGATTCTAAAGGATCAGAACTTGTGTTCTCATGCTCACAAGGCAAGCACTTTACTCATTAAGGCATCTTGAGCTCTAAAATATTCTATTCCTGTTAACAAAACTGCTCTGAAAAAAAATGCTGTAGGTTTTGTTCAACACTGCAAAACAAAGACACAATTTCTTGACAAACCCATGCTATTTCATGTCTCAGATTTTCCCAGCTAAATATCTTCCCAGAATGTTTCAGGAAATTGGGCTCCTAACCTATCCCATTTAGGAGATGTTTTTACTCACTGTCAGTAACCAATGACTGGCCACAATTATGCATTAGTATAAGGCAGTTTGATACTCCTTGAATTTTTTAATCATATTACACATGCTCTCACTTGTAGTCTGATCCTATACTGTTTCCTTAGAGTGGTCTTCAATGTAGAACATTTTTGTTTCTACTACATGGTAACGAATTCCTTCATAACATCTGTCTTAATCCAGACTGTTGCTATTATAAATTGTTCACCATTTTCCTTCTGTTGTTTCTTACTGTGAAACTAGAATTTTTATACATTACAGGATAATTTCTATAACACTCCAAATCATAATATCTTCTATTCTTCAGTATTTTGCTCTTGCTCTATTTTTTATTTAAAGTCTGGTAACAAGATGCCATTAATGGCATCTCCAGACAGCTGTTGTATGTGATAATAGGCGACTCATCTTCTTCATTTGAAACAGAAGTTTGTTAACCCAGGCAGTTCTTGTCCCATCACCTTTGTATCAATCTTCTGTGATTGTTTATTTGGGCACAAATTTCATTTCGATTTCTGAGGTGTTTTGTCAAGGGAGTAAAGTTGGGATGAGCCGTTGTAGTGGAAATCCACAGCAGTCTTCTTTCCCATGGATAAACGCGCCCTCCTCCACAGATAAATACCTGTTATATGTTCTTTTCCAAAACTACAGGAAATTTTTCTCAGTAGGGATTTTCCCCAGTGGCCTTAGAAAGAGATAGATTAAGATTTGGGAACTCTCCCTGGCTATACGGAAATCTAATAAGCTTTGTCGTTTGGCTTCATTTGATGTAGGGTATACTTCCTTGGTCCTAGAAGGCCCCTCAGTTTATTACCATAACTGTCTCTGATTCTGCAGACCCTGCAAGGGCAGAGTAACAGGACGTGAGTCACCCACCTGGTGACTTATGGTTAATCTTCATGTAAGATAGAAGAGGCAGCAATGAGAACCATGCCCGCCTGGGGGTAGGTCCGGAAGTGACATCTTAGGGAAAAGTCACCCTTTCCCCAGGCTAATTGTACCAAATATCACCTAGCTAGTGCCCTTTTCTTGACCTTCTTCAGTGTCAACAGAGTGTGAAAGAGGTTAGTGCATCACAAATGAAAAATAGCCTCCATGAGCAGAGGTGACAGAAGACCTAAGAACAAACAACATCCCTTAAAAGGGACCCTGTGAAGCCAGGATTAAAACAGTACCAAGCTCCAAGGTAAATTATGTGCAATGAAGCCCTTAGACAACCACTTGTCTTACAATATGGATCCAATACCTGGCATCCACCCAGTAGTTCTTGATTTCTATACATTGAAACCTGTGGTCCTCATATTAGTTCAGTATGACCGCCCTAATATTTGCAGTTCAGAGTAGCAGAAAAATCAGATTTGGAGACTATGAGCACAACAAAAAGATAGAAACTGGATCAGCCACTTCTTCACGAATTCCAACCAGTAGCCACAATAGAAGTTTCTATGTGCGCATCCTTCAGTAGTGTTTTCCTGTGAGCACACATGATCTCTATTTATTTTGTTAAATTTATTATTTTAACATATTTGAGAATTTACAAGGCAAGTATTGATTTTACTTCATTTCTGCATCTTCTTTCCTTGTAGGAATACAAGTCAGTCTTTTCTCCATTTCCCTCACCCCATGAGGTAACCAAGACCCTTATACAGCTGCCAGAAGACCTTGGCTATTGCCATTAGAGGCTCTAATCTCCTAAGCCAAGGGAGTGCAGTGATGAAGGCTGCATTCTGCCTCAGGGCCAAAAAAACAGAGAAACTCCATGTCTACTGTGCCTGTAAAGTGGGGAGACTCCTACAAATGCAGGCTAGGGTCTCCCCAACTGTTCTTCCATTCTCCAGTTCTAGAACCTACCAATGTCTAGCATGTAATCATCAGTCTGGTGGATCCTGCCTGAGCTTTAACCCTGCTGTTACTTCTCTCCCAATTGGAACACATGACAAAAGACAAAATGAACAGATACCTAGTAACTGTGATGGAGGCAGAGTATCTCTTTAATTGCATCCACAAAGAAAAAGGTTCAGCTAACAAACGCATTGATTTTATTTATTTAAACTCTTATGAAAGTTTATTTTACAAGGGGGGGAGGAACCTGTTCTTGAGGTCTCCTTTGAGCAGGAGCTCCCATTTGTAAAACCTAGGTCTGAACAGGGAGTGAATAATTTCATATGGCTCAAATTTAATCACCTCCTGTCAAAAGAGTGGAAGATAACATTTGAACTGGCAAAGCTGTGGCAGAGCCACATGACCTACTGACACCTGGAGGTTCTGTGGCAGTGGAAAAATCTGCCTCCAACTGACAGAATGTCACATGCAAAAAGAATGATCTGAGGTGGCTGTGTTGCTGCAATGTACCCCAGCTCTCTGGCCGCCTGCCTGAGTCTAAAACCATGAAGCGGTTTAGTAGAATGTCTCTGCACTGTGTCTTTACCATCCTGAGGCAATGCCAGGAACAAGCAAGGGAAAATAAAATAAAAAAGACAAGATGGCTTGTGAGAAACAAGCTCTAATCCTCACACATTTCCCTCCTGATCGGCCCGTATTAGAAGAGCTGTGTATTTAAAACTCTTCCACCTGGAAACAGGATTTTCAGCCTTTTACTGAACTAGCAGGCTACGAATCCTCCCACTGATCAGTCTGCCTATCCTGCCACCAGCAGGGAAAACTAATCCTGAGGACCAAGGTCTTCTAGGCTGGAAGCAGAGCAGACCCAGAAGAGAAGAGAGGAATGAACAGTTCTCATGGTCTTGAGGAGGTCAAGAGACGCTGAGTGACCAGAAATATTCCCGTGAAATTGATCGACCAGTCATGTCCATCATTACAGATGCCCCCAGCCGTGATTGAAACACACGTGCTTGCACACACTCACACACACAAGCGCACACAAACCCATCTAGGGAAGATACATGCAGCAGTACTAAAGAAGGCAGTTTCAGGAGCAGCAACTGCTCTGACTCTAAAGGAAAGGGTGGCTGACTGCACAGAGCTTAAGCAGCTTGGGCTTCCGATAATTCTATCAACTTCCCGTAGACTCCAAAGTGCAAAAATCACTGGTTTTGTGATTCTTTTTTTAATTTTAATTTTATTAATTACAGTTTATTCACTTTCTATTCCCCCTGTACTTCTTTCCCTCCTCTCCTCCCAATGCCACCCTCCCTCTTCATCACCTATGTCCTTCCCCCAGTCCACTGAAAAGGAAGGTCCTCCTCCCCTTCCTTCTGTTCCTAGTCTATGAGGTCTCATCTGGACTGGATGCACTGTCTTCTTCTGTGGCCTGGTAAGGCTGCTCCTCCCTCAGGGGGAGGTGATAAAAAACAAAACAAAACAGGCCAATTAGTTCGTGTCAGAGACAGTCCCTGTCCCCGTTACTATGAAGGCCACTTGACTACTGAACTGCCATAGGCTACCTCTGTGCAGGGGTTCCAGACCATCTCCATGGGTGGTCCTTGGCTGGAGTATCACTTTCAGAAAAGACCCCTGTGCCCAGACTTTTAGGATCTGTTGCTGTCCTTGTGGAGCGCCTGTCCTCTCCAGGTCTTACTGTCTCCCACTTTTTTTTTTTTCTTAAGATTCCCTGTACTCTGCCCAAAGTTTGGCTATGAGTCTCAACATGTGTCTTGATACCAGGCAGAATAGAGCCTTTCAGAGGCCCTTTGTGGTAGGCTCCTGTCCTGTTCCCTGTTTTCTCCCTCCTCCAATGTCCATCCTCTTTACCTTTCTGAATGGGGATTGAGCTTCTTAGCCAGAATCCTCCTTCCTTTTAGCTTCCTTAGGTGTACATATTTTAGAAACTTGTACAAACACTCTAGAAATCAATCTGGCACTTTTACAGACAGTTAGGA